GAGCATCCCCTAAAAACTAAACCTTGTAACACACACCACCCTTGCAACAAATATTTTTTTTTCTTTCTTTTCTATAATTTCAACTTCATAAGTCACCTCTTTACAAACAACACCCATTATTTATGATTAATTATAACATTGTGTTGTAAGGTGGCAATATGGTGTTGGAGCAGGTATACTTGAATTTTAAGAGGTGATTTACATAGGTATATGGATGTATGTATAGATTAGGAGTGAGATAGAATTCAAAATGTTTGAAAGCAAATTGAATTTTCGTCATGGACTAGTGGTGATTGTTAAAAAGGGAGGCCCATGTCACAAGATTTGTTTTTAGAGGGTTAGAGTAATTTTTAAAATTTAAGGAAGGTTCGGTAATTATGACAAACTTTAAGAAAAATTAATATAATTTTTATTTTATAGAAGAAAAGGAAAAAATTATTTTTTTATAAAATCTGGTATCGAAAACAAAACAATATAAGTGTCTTTGAGCACAATATGAGGGAGTGGTAAAAGGAATAAATGCCAAATGGTCTTTCCAGAACCCAATGGAAGTCTGTGTAATTTGCCCATATGTATATATATACTAGTGTAATCCACGTGCGATGCACGTGATAAAATAAACATTTTATATTATAAATGAATTTTAGATAAATTTTTTTTAAAATAATAAAAAAATTAATTTGGATAATTCACAATATGTATATGTATCTGTATATTAACTCTATGAATCACAAGTAAATATTAACATCATAAATCTAGAGAAAATATGTTAAGTAATAAATAAAAAACTAGAAGAAAAAAAAAGAGTTGGAAAGAAAGAAAGAAACAAACACCTCAAAATATACCATTTATATTCTTGGTTGCTCTTAGCTCAAGATTAAGCATATATTCATTTGATTGGATTGGATGTAGATGATTTCCAAATCAAAAGAAGACATTTTGAGATAGAAGTACACACTTTCTCAATTATAATTTATAGCAAGAAATGACATTTAACAAAAATATATTTAAATGATGAGAAAATATATGTATGCAATCATATGTGGAAAAGAGCTGGTATAACAAGTTCATTATACTTTAGAACTAGAATAAAGAGATAGGAATTAAAAGTTTGACCTCAAAATTCCCACAAAATAGAAAAAATCTACAATGAAACAAACAAAAAACAAACAAAAATATTGAATTTGAAAACAAGAAATTTAGAATTATAATTACCTGATAAACTAAAGATGTTAAAAGGAAAGAAGCGATCGTGATAGAAAGAAAGTTGATTAGAACAAAGATTGAAGAATAAATTGCAAGTCTTGAGTTTCAAGTTAAAACATATAAACTCCATTTTTATGGTTTTCCTTTGCATGTTTAATATACTTATTTCAATGATATTCAAATGGCTATTTATAACTTTATTAAGTGCGTATTCCAAAAGCTTAAACTCAACTAATGAAATTATAACATATTTATAATTCATTAAAATTTTATTTTTGTATTTAAAAATAAAATAAAATAGTATATATATATATATATGCACACACACGATATGGTAATAGATTAATAGGAACCAATATCTCACCGTTTCTCCATAAAAAAAAAAAAGGGTTAATTACAATGACATCCCCTGAGATTTGCCTTAATTACAGCCATATACAAGTTAACCTCTTTTTGAACAATGAGACCCCTTCAGATTTCATAAACTTAACAAAGACACTCCTGCCAGGTCTGACACAAGTTAAAATGACGTTATTACCCTTTAGCTTTTGAATTACCCTAATTTTTTAATTAAAATAAGAAAATGTATCAAAAGGCCATTTTAGGACAAAAATACCCTCATCTTCCCTATCTCTCTCCACCCACAATCCAAAATCAATATCCAGTCAGTCCCTTTACAACTTCCATTGAATTTGAATTTATCTTCATTGATTCAAGACTCATCATTTCAGATACTAAATTCACCGGAACTGTCCTTGCCGAGCTCGGTGACTTACATTCACTCACTCTAAACAATTCATCCATATCAAACGATTAGTTAATAAAGTCTAAACTCTATCATTTCAACGAGAAACCCATATACTTCTGCAACTCTTTCTCTCTCGGGCTCCAGCAACGGTGACGATGCTCTGGCAACATTGAGTAGCAGTGGTGTTGGCATGATGGTGAAGCGATTTTGACGTCGACCAGATCTTGTTTGGCGACTAGCAGTGACGTGTGGTGATGCAATTCCAACGTAGACAAGGCGACGAGATCCTGGCGACACAGAACAAACATGGTGGTGAGAATCCTATGATGGCGACGATCAAGGAAGATTCTCCCATTCTCTTTTTTTTGCATTTTCTTGCTTTAGATCCTTATGCTAAATGCTCTCCACACATAAATTATACCTCTATGATCACATGTTTATCTCAATAAACCCACTTCATCTTTCACCTCTCTAGAAACCCAACCATTACCTCCATTATAAACACAAGATTCGCATAACAAGTAACAATTGAATCCAAAATTGCCGAAACGGGCTTGTCGCTTTCAATCATTCACTCAATAACTTAATTTGTATGCGTAAATAAATACAAATTGTAGAGTAAAATCGCAAGAATTAAGGGATACCCATTTAGAGACGAGACCAATCGAAGAAACCCATGAGGCATTTGGGGTCACACACCTAGTTTTGGTGAAGAACGTATCAAACCAAACTTGGGTTTAACTTGCTAGGCAGGTTTGTTAATTCTATGAAGAATTCCTAATTGTCGTATTTGAGAATTCCCCTACTGCGACTTCTTTCTCATTGGAGTTCTATGAGCTAGCTGTGGAATGATTTCGCAAAAACATGCCTTGATCTTGAGAAAATGCATCCAACGAGATGACAGGAGAGGTTCATCGAGAGCTCGAGGAGACCACCTATGCAGGCTATTGGGATGATTGTTTTCATCAGATCAACGACCATGATCTCTTCAACACCAAAGCCATGATCACCTTGGCCAAGACGTCAAGATCATCGCTGCCAATTTGATCGTCGACGATGGTCGGTGGTGCTGGTCGTCGTCGTAAGTCGGTCGGATTTCGAGAGGGTTTGTCATGATCTAAGGGTAAGGGTATAAAGAGATTCTGTCGGTTGAAAATAAGGCTAGGGTTACATAAGAGAGGTGAGATCTGCAAGGTTTAAGAGAGTGATGACAAAGGAGTTGAAAGGTTAGAGAGAGAAACGATAGAGAGAGTTATGGTGGTTGGGTTTTCTAAGATGGGCATTTTAGTCATTTTACGATTATAATATTTTCTCATCATATATTAAATAAATATTGAAGGGCAATGTAGACATTTCGCTACCAAAATTTGATATAAAACTAAGAAGGGGTGTCATTGTTCAAAAAAACACTAAGTTATATATGGCTGTAATTAAGGCAAATCTCGGGGGGTGTCATTGTAATTAACCCAAAAAAAAAAAGAAAAGGGTAAAGTACATTGACACCCCCTGAGGTTTGAGGAAAGGACAAGCAGAGGAAAGTTAGCCTGTTTTTGGACAATGATACCCCTTCAAGTTTGAAAAATGGACAAAGAGACCCTGAAGATGGTGAATTGACCTTATTACCCTTTCAAATAAAATTAACATTTTAATTGACTTAAATACCCTTTGATTGAACCCAAACCCAAACCCAAACCCGAACCCGCCTTATACAGTTCACCAGAGGAGAGAGAAGGGAGATCAAATGGATGGTGGTTGTGGCTGCGGTTGTAGTGGTGGGTGTAGAGAGAGGGGGAAGAGAGGGGCGGCCTTAGTTGAAGAGATGAGGTGAAAAAGAGAGGGAGGAAGAAAATAGGAGAGAGATTGTGGTGATGGCTGCGACAGTGGGGGTGGCGGCGGCGATGACTGCGACAGTGGCGGCGAAACCCAGAAGCATCGGCGAAAGAAATTGCCGGCGAAACCCAGAAGCATCTGTATGTGTATATACACACACTGCATATACTGCCACTGCCATCAACGTCACCCCTCCGCCGTCACCAACATCACACCTCAAACTCCGCCACCGCCGCCACATCATCACACCTCAGCCGTCGGGGTTCACCCTTCACGCTCATCATCATCACACCTTCACGCGCTCCTTCTTCAGTGATGTTTTTTCGAAGCTCACCATCTGTCGCTGGGGTTTACCACCTCCTTCATGAAACCCTTGTAAGTTACAGACGAGGTTGTGGTGCTCACCATCTGCCGCCGGTGCTAACCACCTCAATTTCTCGGCCTTAGAAACCGACCGAAGCCACATTTGCTAACCCTTGCTCCAGCTTCACCTCCTACCAACAACGGCCACATCTACAAGCTTTCTCTCACATACAGAGCTCACAGCAACCCTTATCGGCGGCGAAACCACCGATTTCATCCTCAACTGTCCACATCATCCAGATCTAAAGATGACGGAACCAATTGTAGAGTCGAGCCAAACGCCCCTCATTCAGCAATCACTCCATACTCAAAGCTTCGCTCTACACTCAAACATCAACTCTCTGCCGCCGTCAAGAATCAAAGACGCCGGCGTAGGGAATATGTCTCTGTCAATCCTTGATCTGTTCGCTTCACGCCAGAAACTTGCGGCGGCGGCTGAAGAGTTATTTGAGGGGTTCTTGGAGGATGAAGGTGTCGGTGAAAGGAGTAACCAATATGTGAATGAAGGAGATGGTGAACCACTCGTCGACCGGTGGTTGGAAGGTATGGAAGTGGTGTCATGGCCGGGTCTGGGTTTGATAGGTTTACAATATACATATAGATATATAAATATATATATATATATATATATATATATATATGTATTGGTGTAATAAATGTATAAGGGTAAAAGAGTCATTTAAATTTTTTGATATTTTATAATTTAAATTAATAAAATATTAAAGGGCAATCTTGACTTTTTACAAAATTTAAGGAGCGGTTTGGATCAAGTTTTTGACCAGGGGGTGTAATTGTCCAAAAATAGACTAACTTGTATCTACTTGCCTTTGTGTCAAACCGTGTTCGTGTACTTTACCAAAAAAAAAAAAAAAATATCTCATCGCTTCATAGTACAGCCGTTCTAGAGATTACCAAAAACCCTCACTCTCTCATCCCTCACGCCCTGCCACCGAAGCCGGCTTCGTCAACCTCACCGACCACCCACTGGTTTTATGGCCTACGGTCAGTTCTCTCTCTTTTTCTTCTTTTCTTCAAAGTTAAAGATCCATTGCTGTTCGTGGTATACCCAAAGTACAACTTAGTGAACTTGCTGCGTGTGGTATACATAAAGTAAAACTTAGTGAACTTACTCTGTGGGTGGACAGTGGCTGTCTATATATTATATGTCTAATGTGCGTATAGATTTACACCATTTTATTACTTGAAAAATGGGTAAATCTTTATTTTACATTACAGATGGTGATATTTGTGTTTGATTATGATTTAAGGGTTCAATTCGAACAGAATATACATCCGATCTTATGAAATTTCTTTATCTTTTACACAGATCTAATGATTCTGATCTCATAAAATTACTTTAACAGAACACATATAATTTTTTATTTTTACAGTAGTTCATTTATCATTTAAGCTCACAGAACGCATACTTGATCATTCATTTTGATTATATGTTAGTGTCTCAGTAAATTGATGATCATTCATTTTGATTATATGTTAGTGTATCAGTAAATTGAAACTTAAATGGGGCGGGGCAGTGAAACTTAAATGGGACGGTGAGGGGGGTTTTGCTAAACAGTTTTTGGTGGGGAGACTTAAACCGGAGGGGGAAGGTACTCATGCCCCCTTTGCCATCCCTATGTACGTTGTAATTAATCAAGAAGAAGAAAGGTAGTAGTAAGAGCACTCTCTCTATTAGTTTCACTTGGTAATAACCAACTAATTACCCATCAAATATCGAAATTTCAGTGAGGTCACTTAGCTTTCCATAGTAAATATAGCTAGGGGTGCAAATTGGGTGGGCCCAATTCGGACAAACTCGAGCCTAGTTCCAAAGTTTTTGGGCGGGCTGTTTAACTTGCAATTTGGTTCGAGCTTGGTTTGAAAAGTAACAACCCCATTTCATTTTGATTGGAGCTCGAGTTACTGTGTGGATCAATTCGAAGCCTAACCTGAGGCGGTCCTGAACTATATTTAAACCCGACTTATCAACCCCAACAATGAATCAGATATATACTGTAAAGCTGACCTCCCCGCCTTGAAGGGGACGATTTCTCCCCCAAATTTTTTTGTTGGAAAAAATAACCTCATTAGAGCATGTCAGCTCATAAAAGGTGGCTATTTATGTTATTTCAAAACTTACATCCCCAGCTTCTATTTCACGTGCCTCTCCCCCAAGAGCGATCGACCTTGTGCACCAGGTGGGTTTCTTTGCTCCCACTACACCACAACCACCAGATCGAACCTCGTCCCCCACACCCATATCGGTGTCCCCTTTGATCTCTGATATCTCTTCGTTGGGCAGTATTCTTTATTTTTTTCCCAAAATTATATGATTGTTGTGCTGAAATTTTATGAGCACCACTGCCACTAGATCGAAACTAGTCCGCCACACCCATATCGGCGTTCCTTTGGTCTCTGATATCTCTTCGTTGGCCTATATTTGTTTCAAATTTTTTTCCGAAATTGTATGATTATTGTGCAGAAGTTTTATGCCCTTGACTATATTGGAACAATTTGCATTTCATCTCTGTTGGAAATATTTGTGCTTTTGGATTCAGATATTCTCTACCTAGTTTGATTTGGTATAGATCTGATTCTAGCAAATACATAGCGTCGGCTTATGTAGCCTTAACAGGCGCGAGTAGTAGGGATTAAGTTTGTCTTGTTTCATATGTTTTGTTTTGTTTTGTTTTTTTTTTTTTTTTTCCTTCGCAAACTAGGTGGAGTGGGGATTTGAACTCGGGCGTACCTGCTCGAGGAGCTGGGTGCTCTATCAACTAGGCCAGTAATGCCCTCTTGTTTCGTATGCGAGCTTTTATGTTTTTTATACACAAGTGCATAAACCATTTTGTGTATCCGATGAATGTTGGGATTCCATTCTCAAGTAGTTATTTTGCACTATAAACTAAATTGAAGTACGGTATATAATTATTTGATTGCCTCTCCATTGTGATTTAGTTGTTTGTTTGAAAACTCTATCAACTAGGCCAGTAATGCCCTCTTGTTTCGTATGCGAGCTTTTATGTTTTTTATACACAAGTGCATAAACCATTTTGTGTATCCGATGAATGTTGGGATTCCATTCTCAAGTAGTTATTTTGCACTATAAACTAAATTGAAGTACGGTATATAATTATTTGATTGCCTCTCCATTGTGATTTAGTTGTTTATTTGAAAAACTTTCAATCAATTATGTTTTTTTTCCTTCTGAAGGTTATTCTTATATTGGAGCGCCTTTTAAGGAGGTCAGAATTCAGAGCAGATACTGTAATTGGGGCAAGGATGTCTGAGGTGTCTACTTAAACTTGAATACATTCACATTCCCTTTTTATGCACTTGGATCCTCACCTATAATATCCTTTGCTGTGCTGATGGTTTTTCAACATAACACATCTGCTTTTCAACTGTGATTTTTCAACTTATTACATCTGTTTCTCAACGCAATAAAAATAAGTAGATGTAAATATGTTGAAAACAGGTGTAATTGTGTTGAAAAACCCTATGGCACCACTACAGCAAGGGAGATTACAGCAGAAGATCGGGGCTCCCTTTTTCGTACTTATATTACTGTTCGTGCATTTATTTTAATGATATGCGCTTTATCTTATTGTGGTCATCTTCACGTGTTGATGTTAGTGTTGTTCAAATAATGACAGGTTGGATATGCTCATCTAGAGGAAGAAATTGGTGATGATGTCATAGCAACATTGGCAGAGATTTTTTGTTATGATGACAAACCTCTATTTCTCTCTTTTATGAAGGAGCTATTTCAAAGAAAAGTACCAAAAACAGAAGAAGTTAGAAAGAAGGAATCATCTGATTATCAAGCTAAATATTGCCCACCAAAAATTTTGCATGGAATTTGTCAGTTTGGCGTAATAGATTGTGCCATCGCTTTTCTCGGAGGGGAGACCGGTTTAACGATGGATTATATCCATTGCATTTAGCAGCTAATGGTTTATCATATGAAATGATTGCGACATTGCTTAGCCATGGAGCTCAGACTGATGTCAGAACCATAGAGGGTAAATTTAGGGGCGACTTGTTTCCTCTCAACGTATCACTTGAAACAGTAAGGTAGAAGACAGATATTATAGTATAAAATTATTCTTTCTTATTTCTTTCATGGGGCCTATAATATGAACTTAGATCAAGGTTTAATACATCATTCTTAACTACTTAATTCTTTTCCCTTTTTTTTGATTGGATTTTTAATGTGGCTGATGCAGTTATCATCGATCCTTGATTGATTGGACCCCAAAACAATCTATCTTCAAATTGATCGTTGTTCTTTGTCTGCCTCAAATGGTTTGTTTAGACAAAATTTATGTGTATTACAAATAGTGTTTACTTTCTATACATTTGAATGGGTTGAGAGGTCTGATCTTTTTCTTTTTTCTTTTTGTTGCTTATTATGGTTAAATATGGCAGAAAGTACCATTAGAAATTAATAGGTTGCTGGCATGGAACACAAAGGAGGTTGATAAAATATTTATTCATTATGCTATGGAGGGAGAACTTATTGAGATGGCTACTCTACTGATGGTTGCTCGAGAAAAGTTAATCCCTTTGAGCATGTCAATACGCAAAAGCATCATTGAAGAGATTGTAGGACTAACTGAAGATGAAATCAAATTGATCGGAAGTCACAAGAATGATAAGTTGGTTGAAGAGATTGTAGGACTAACTCAAGATGAAAGCAAGTTGCTCGGAATTAATAAGATTGGTAAGTTGGTTCGGTCGCTTAACGATATTAAGGCAGCAATGACGCAGGGAATATTGTTGCTCAAAGTGTTTGAGAAGGCTGGTGTTGCTCTTGAAAAATACAGGCAGTTAGTACAGAGTGAAGTAAGTTGTTATGATCCGTGTTTTTTATGGTGTTTGTGCTTGTTTCTTGCGATTTATTGTAATTCTCATATTGTTTGCAACATGCATAGATTTAAACTTTTTTTCTTTTCTTCCAGAAATTGTGTAGAGATTTATTTGGTTATGATATTTATACCTATTAAAAATTACACTGACCCCCATGTGGTTTGCCTTTGTCACCCAGATAGAACTTGGCAATGTTTTTGAAAGTCACACCTCCCGTTAGCTTTTCCACATAAAAAATGTGTGAAATGTCTAATTTGCCCTAATTTTTTAATGCTTTTTTATTATAAAAAATAGAGAAACCAAAAGACTACTTTGCCCCTAAAACCAAAAGACCCATTTTTAATGCTTTTCTCACATTTTCAGCTTACCCCACCACCGACAATTTCCAACACCACCCACCATCGCCGCCCACCACCACCTGCCCCTTCCTTTTCTCTCTCCCCACTCACCACCGCAACCTTCACCCCACTACCACCATTAAAACAAGCTTCGCATCAATCACATACCAACCCGAACCCCAACTCAGTTGAGTCCAACTCGTCCGCCATTGAAGCCTTGCTCGACCTCGAAACCGAGGCAGACAAAAATACCCCTATACACCTCAGTTATGTCTCTCTCTCCTCCACCACCACAATCAGCTGTCACATCCCTCTCTACACATTTCAATTGGGACACTCTCTCCTCCACCCTTCCTCTCTCTCTCACTCTCTCTTTCAATAGTCCACCTCCACCACTCCAACCACCCACCTCCATCACTCCCTTCGCCATACTCCACCACTCTAACCACCCAACCACTACACACCTCTGAAACCCTAGCCTATACCACTATTGACAACTCAATTACTTAGAATTTGTGATGTTGTGGCCTGAGTTTGGTTCTGGGGTCGCAACTACGCCCCGTTTAGTACCCTCTTGTAGCCCGATATATAATGGGCGTTTAGGGTTTGGAGTGGGATATAGATAGACATTGAAAATTGTAGAAAATAGAGCGAGAGCGAGAGCTAGGGTTTGGGGGTTGAAACTTGTACCTACCAGATTTTTGCATAGCGAATGCTTTCGCCAGAATTTCATTGTGGATGTAGGCTTTGGCAAGCCACGTCTGCCCGTGCTTTGTGATTGTTGCTTGGTTGTGATTGGTTTATGGTTTTGATGGTGAAGATGGCGTCAATTTTTGGAGAATTTTTGTTTCTTTCGTGTTTTGGTTGTGATTGGTTTAAGGTTTTGATGGTGAAGATGGTGTCATTTTTTAGAGAACTTTTTTTTTCCCTCATAAATGGAGGAAATTTTTATAAATATAAACATTATGGAGAGAACTTTTCGTTTCTAGATAAGGGAAGGCATAGAGAGGTTTTAGAGAAGGTGTTTGGTGGAATGAAATTGATGAAATTGCATGACTTGCCTTCATTGGTTCATTAGTTATTTGTTTTGTCAGTGAAGGGGTTATATGGGGCCATCTTGAATGGTGAAGACTTCAATTGGGGGTGATTGAGGGTGGTCTGGACCTTGATGGTTCGACCATGGAGTAGTGGTTGCAGAGGATTGCAATGCATGTGTTTTAGAGAGAGAAGGAAGAGAAGAAAGAAGAGGTGGTGGCTGTGGGTGGGGGTGGGGGTGGTGGTGGTGGCAGCATTGTGGGTAGGTGGTTGAGATGAAGAGGTTATTTTGGACATTTAAAATTAGTTAGAATGGGTTAATTGGTAATTTAACTATTCAAAGTGTCACTTCACTAGTAAAAGGGCATTCAGGTCATTTTACCATGTGCGAGAGCGTTCATGGAGTGTCTTTGTCTAATGGAGCGAATCTGAGGAGGTGTCACTATGAAAGAATTGGGTGTCAAAGAGGCAAACCACAGGGGTGTTGTGAATGCTAGTTGTTTTTCCTTTTGAATGAAAATGGTCATCTTTCAACTCGTATTACTACCAGTTTCCTCATGTTTTAAGCTTTGACCCAACACTTCCACAAAGTTACTCCCTTAATGTTTTCTTATAGATGCCAAAAGAAAAGGTGGTCAACGACATTAAGGCGCTGCTTGAGAGAGCCGGGTTTGTTAAAAACGACAAAGATGTTGATTTAAGTGACATTGACTGGTTTGGCACCTAATTACTTTGTTCAGTTGATCAGTGAAAATTTTGTATCTTCTTATCTCTCTTTCTTTAGGTGATTTGATTGTGAATAAGCTTTAGTATTCTAATGCATGTTTATTTTTTCGTGACATTAAAATGCCATAGTGAAAGTGAAAGTATCAAAGAGGCAACGGAAGAATTAGGTGATTGGTTGATTTCCACTTCAACTGACTCATGCTTCAAAGGAATTTTCCAGAAAAAACCCATTAAACTAGTCTGATTTTGTTATGTTTTGTTTTACACAGAAGAGAGTTTAACATTGAGGTCTTATTCAAAGGATCTCTGGATGCCACCTCCCTCACTGTCTAACAGTTTTTCCAAGGAAAAGGTAAGAGACATAGATAGTAGTTTGTCCTTGCTGATGTTTTTCTCATTAGGAATGGTAAATTCTTGCTTCACATATTTTGAAGTATAAATTTTAATCTTTTGGTGTGCTGTTAAGAATTATATTTATGAATACTTGAGCAACTCATATCTCTCCCATCCGCTTATCATTCCTCCCGACCTAGCAAACACTCATTTTTGGTGTTTCTCATATCCGAGGTTGATGCTACTATATTATCAGCTTTTTTATGTGGCATTTGAGGATCACCTATGTGTGGTTGGTTATATGATGCATTGATTCTACCTACATAGGTTCTTAGCACTGGAGGTTTGGAAAACGCGGGTGATGATCTCGTGGCTTATCTTTTTCTTGCCCATTCCCAAAAACTATGGTTGGGTTGATTGGAAAAATTCCAAATGTTTTTGCTGCCTCTCTCTACTCTTCTTCTTCCCTCTATTCATCTTATATTGAATTATTCTCTTTCTTCCCGTATGTTCAATTGGGTTTTGGAAGTGTCTTATGTGGCCATTTGCATAGTCCTGACTATTCCAGGCTCTCATTACAATATTATTGAAATCTACTCTTTACTTTCATACTTTTACGTACTTTTCTGCATCCTCTATCATATCCCTTTTTTTAGTCTATCAAAGCATGAAGCTTTCAAGGCTAGAGGTGCATTTTACATAATCTCAGATTTGGTCTTGTGTCTATTAATAGCCGTTCCACGATATTCTCCACAATTTTTTATTTATACCCCAAAAAATTGTTCTTAATAATCTGAATCTAGGTAACCTTAGGGTTGCATTACTTCATTAGTGCGGAAAAGTTTTTGTATCTACAATCTAGCAATCGATCACTTCCCAAACCAAACTAATTCTGAGCCCTTTCATCTATAAACCATATACATGTTCCTCTACCTTTCAGGGCGATGGTTCTATATGATTTTGTTGATAAAAGAACACCAGAAAATTATTTGTATGTAGCATATTACTAAGTCTACTGAGTCAGCCAACATCATGAGTTCAATATTGATAGGTCTTTTAATGCGTCATCCCACCACTGGAAATCAAACGAAATGCTTGGGTTTTCAGAGGCAAGATCTCCTCGCTGAACCATGTTTTGGACCAAATCTGTTCCTCCATCATAGAGAGGCTCATGGGTGGGTTTTTGAAAGATTCACCCCAATCTTGTCGTGTTTTGCTCATCTGGGGTATCTCCCCCTCCTCCTGCCATCCTCCAAGGAAGCCTCTTGACTTGAGATCGGCTTGAGAATTGTTACTGGGCTTGGGTTTATTTTGGCTTTTTTTGTATCGTATTCCCATTTATAAGTGGTGGTTTCTAATTGGGCCTGGTCTCTCACTTAGAGATCTTATCCGGTGGACTTGTCCACTTTTTTCATTTTATTGTTTTATACAATTTGCTTGAAATTCTGGAAAAAGATATATGTATAACTTCTACAATTAGCAAATTTCTTTGGCTATATATGAGCACCAAAAGTCACGTGTTTTGTTTTCCTTCCAACCTCATTTAATCCAAAGGTTCTATGTGTGATAGCCTGTTGACAACAATTGAATGTCAAACATTAAATTAGTAAGACTCACTTTTAGAGAAATTTTTGTAACCTTGTCTACTTGTAATTCTTGTTTCATTAAATGTATTTTTTTTCTTTTTCTTTTTTGGGATAAAGAAGTAGCAAGTCGGGGATGTTGAGGATGTCTTTCTTCCATTTTTTTATTATTTCAACAATATTACCAATTAAATCCTTACGACAGTGGAATGCCAAACTATCAATGAGTTGGACTCACTTTTAGAGAAATATTGGTACCCTTGTATGTGTACTTGTAATTTTTGTTTCATTAAATTTTTTTTTCTTGGATAAAGAAGTAACAAAGTGGGAATGTTGATCAACATTAAAAGTGTGCCTAGTATCCAAAAAAGCCCCAGGCTTGTCAAGGCTCAGTTAAGAGTGCTTCGACCTACTAAAGGCCAAGCCCAAGCCCCCAGACTCTCTCATTTTACGTCCTTTATTTAATGACCATTAAATTAAAATGTTTTGTATAATATCACGATCATATTTAATGGATCATATTGTTTGACTTTATGATATATTTGACAAATTCATAGATTTATGGTTGACTTATTACATTAATTGCATTCATTTTGATTCTAAATAAACATGATTGTATATGTTTAATGTCTACTTGATCATAGCTTTTTATTGTTTTACGTTTGTAATCACATCTAATTTACTAAATTTATACGCCTAAGAAATGATTTATGCAACATCAGTTTACCAGATCCTCTTAGCTTGATAGGTCAAAAATCCCATTTTTATAGAATTATTATTTTGATATGATTTTTGCACATCATTGAAATGTTGGAAAGATTTCTTTATTTTGATATTGACTAGTATGTGTTGCATAGTTCAATAATTTTTATTAAATTAATCTTTAATATGCTTCTTTATCATACATGCGCCTTTTATCAGTCTCTTGCCTTGTATCGTGCCTTGCGCTTGGGCTCCAGGAGACCTTTGGCGCTTTAGTGTATACCTTGAGCCTTAACAAGTATGCTTTTTGTGTATTTTTGAACAGAGTTCGGTCATATATAAAACTTTTAGAACATTCATCGAATATGGGCCCCTTGTTTTTACGCCTTCGTCACGGTCATACGTTACATTCCCGCTCATGGATAAAAAGACACATCGTGTTGCTATAAGTGTTAACTTTTCGAGAACCCCTAGACCCCCAGCAATGATAGTATCTGCGGCATATCTTCTATCAAGAAATCAGTTTGCCTCCTTGGCATTAGCAATCAAGAAGAGGTTAACTTGCATATGATTGGCAAATAAGGTACTGATTGCTTTTCCTGCATTTTGAAGTTTTGTCTATTCATTTCAAATTTATTCCTTGAGTTTCATTTGTTGATCAATATTGTATGATCGACAACTCAACTTTGGCATATCCTCTTGCCCTATCTTCAGCTTTTACAAATAATTACCTCTACAATATGTTTTGATTTTGATTTGATTAGTGTGCATGTGGAATTTTTGGTGATTGAATTATTACCTGCTTGGATTGGATCTTTATGGATAATGAAAATTATATTGTCTTACTGTAGTCAATGGACTCATGATTGCACTGGGGTTGACTTGGCCACTGTTTGAATTGTAAATGGAAGCTGTTATAAGAGCACTAAAGGCCGTGCATTTTCTTAAGAAGCAAAGCTGGGAGGCTTATGCAAGTGACAAATAAAATACAGAAGATTTTCTACTCATGATGCCTTGTTTTATAGTTGTTATTTTATTATTTATTTGAGTTCTAATCTCTCAACTTTGGCTGAGAGCCTGAGAGGAAAGCCTTCGTAAGTTAGTCTTGTAACTCTATGTTTTCAATTTTTAAATTTGTTTGATGTTCATACTAACTGAATAAAATATTTAAACAATTTAAAATGCATGTTCCAGTTTGTTAATTTCATGTACTTAACCATAGACTACAATTGATTGTATTTGGGGTCTAGCATAAAGGTTACTTATATATAATCATGAATTAGTAATTTTCATTGGATTATTTTAGAAAAAAATAATAAATTATGACATTTTATGCCTAAGTAAGGATGAATGATTGAAATTTATGTATTTTTCGTCAATTAATTATTTATGATTTATGACCAAGATAATAAATAGGAGGAACAAATTCTGACATTTTATGCCTCGATACTAAAAAATAATAAATTATGACATTTTATGCCTTGATACTTATTTTCATAACTTATTATTAATTGTATTGCTACTTTAGCTTGAATCACTCAATTTTTGGTAGAATTTGTTAAGTATTAATTTTAGATTATGGGTGTCCTAATCAATTCCTTTTGGAAACAATCTTGTAAGGGAGATGATAATCGCACTTCACTTTTCTACGAGGTTTCTGTAATATCAAAGATCGCTAGGGCTTTGTTTGGTCCAATGGAAAATGAATGAAATGAAAACATTAGTTAGATGAGGAAAAAAAAATAATAATAATAAATAAAAGAACGGATAATAATCATGTGTCCTATATAATGAATTTATTATCGTACTTGTAAAATGCAGGTGCAATGTTCGTCGAGTGTAATATAATTCAACCAAAATAAAATAAAATAAAATGAAAGAAAAATACAATATTGTAATTAAAAATATAAAATTTTCTTAATAATATTATTATATAAGATAATAAGATTATATAATTATATATTTGATTGGTACCCTAAATTGAATTAAAATAAAAATCTATTATTAATATTTATTTTGACAAATTAAGGAGTGTCAATGTTTACAATAGGAAGGGAATAAGCTTAAAAATTGAATAAGTGTGATTTTATTATAGATTTAAATCACTTGGGTTTGCGTATGCCTATTAAGATTTAAATCATTTGGGTTTGGTATAAGCTTACAAATTAAGGAGATGCCTACAAAAAGTGAACAGGCATCTACCCAAACTCACGGGTAGCCCTTATTACCACAACAACAGTGTGCAGGCATCTCCTGTCACACCCAATCTCATAGGTATCCACTGTTACAGAACTAACAGGTATCCCCTGTTACATGGTCACAGGTAATTCTCGTTACTGCACCAGACTCACAGGTATTCCCCGTTACGACATAACACGACTCACAGCTAACCCCCGTTACAACACGACACGACGCACTGACGACAACATGACAAGACGCACATATAATAATGCGACATGACTCCCAGATAACTATGAGACACGACTCAGACAATAATGCAACACGACTCACTGACAACCGTGCAACACGACTCACAGGTTTCCCCTGTTACAACACGACATGACTCACAGGTGTCCTCCGTTATAACACAACACGACTCACAAGTAGCCCCCGTTACAACACGACACGACTCACAGGTAGCCCTCATTACAAAACTCACAGGTATCCCCTTTACATAGTCACAGGTAACCCCCCGTTACATCACAGTCACAGGTCGCCCTCGTTACATCACAGTCACAGGTAACCCCCCGTTACATCATAATCAAACACAGTAATATCTCGTCTCCTCTGTGGACAATCCCTCTTCATGTGGCCCGGCTGACCACCCGGAAAACAAACTCCGAAACTAGGTCTATCAAGAGGACACTCTGCCTTGCTGTGTCTTGGCTGTCTACATTGATAACACATCACACTCGTCCTAGAGGACCTTGAAGAAACACCAACAATAGGAGTAACACCTGTCGTTTGCTGCTCCTGAGAAAATAATGAAGCACCTCTGTGCCTTTTCCTGTCCTGGCTCTTGGAAGTACCCACATTCGTACCTCGTTCCTGAGAACCCACAATACCACTCATTTCTTGCCAATCTTTGGCTTCTGTTTCTGCCATCAGCTCGTAACCACTTCCGAATAATTCTTTAATCCCAAAAGTGTCACCCCCGGCCTAATTAAACGATTTAGACCGTACATAAACTGCCATATATTCTCATTTTCGATCCCTAACACATCTGTAGCGAAACGTGAAAGAGAAGTGAACTTATTCTCATACTCTGTCACTACCATGTCACCTTGTTCAAGCCCGTCAAACTGCGTCCTCAATTCCCGTCTTTTAGTCTGCGGGAAATACTTATCAAAGAAAAGACTCTTGAATGCATCCCAACTCATACTGTCAATATCATGTGCGCTAGTCATGGTCTTCCACCATACTGCCGTGTTGCCAACAAACTTATACGTGGCTGGGGTGATCTTCAACTGATCATCGGGCACGGCTATTGCCCTGAAATGCTTTTCAACTTCATTTAACCAATCGTCCGCTACCAACGGATCTGGACCTCCCTCAAATGCTACTCTCATGAGTTTGTCAAACTGAATCAGGTACCTAAGATTCTGCTTCGTCTCCGTCTCCTATGGCTGAATAGCCGATTGTGGTACCACTTGAGGAGATGTGGTATTCGCTAAATTCTGAAAGGTTGAGGCTACAGCCCCTGCTAATAAGATATCATCCACCGGTACTTGTGGATTATCATCCGTCTCTCTATCTCGACCCTGTCCTATTAAAACCCTGTCTGGTTAGGATGGCCCTTCACTTGCTCGCTGTCCAACTTCATCTGGATCCATCTCACTACGTCGTCCTCAAACATGGTTCTACAAAGACAACTAAACAATCAAAACAAGAATACATGAAATAACTCAATCCACGAGCTATGGTGCTCAAATTATCCGTTCGATAAGAACTAAAACGTTCAGAAACATAGGAATGACTAAGCTCTCCATATACGCGGGTTAGAACCCTTCGTAACCCAACACACAGCACCGCCACGAACATTCAAACCCATCAACAATGAAACGCATTAGTCATACGTACATCTACTAAGCAAGGACTCAATAAACAGTAGACAATTAAGCACTTAATAATTATAGTCATGAAATACACATACTAACATTTAAACATATATGTATATAGCAATTAAGCATGCTTTAAACAGATTTAACCATTTCATTAATCATACAAAAAATTTCACATAAGCATCTAGCAAATAGGCATGTTTTCACATTCATTAAACAATGACTTAAGAAAAATAAGCACATTATCATTTAGCATGTTTAAATTTAATCACCATTTTATAAGTCTCATAATCGATTCGCATGTAAACACGTAATAGCAAGTCGTGCTTTTTAACTAAATAAACTATAACTACATAAGCATGCAATACTGTCAATCTCAACTCTAACTCAACCTGGGTCAACCCTACCCGTCGTCCTTGGGTTTTCGAACCTAAAGCTCTGATACCAATTTTGTAACGACCCAAACCGGGGTCAACTAAGGGCAATTCCGTCATTTCCTATGCTCACAGGGGATACTCAGATCATTCAAGGGTCCAGAGTCATTCTAAAACACAATTTAGAAGGAGAAGTCAAAGTACAGGTCAATGGATAAGGTCAGCCAGCTGATAGAGAGGTTAACCAAGTCAATGGAAGGATCAGCCGGGTCAATGGAAAGGTCAGCCGGCTGAGAATGCATGGTCGGCCCGACTGAGATAGTCAGTCGGCCGAAACGACTCCCAAAGCTGCTCACTCTCGAGACTTTGGTAAAGTGATCCTTCAGCCGACTAAAAGTAAGGTTCGGCCGGCTGAAATGATCTCCAAAATTGTTTACTCCCGGGACTTCTCTAAAATGAAGTGTCGGCCGGCTGGTGATGAAGTGTCGGCCGACTGATGATGGAGTTTCGGTCGACCGATGGTGAGGTTCGGTTGGCCGAAATAAGACTTCTCAACTACACAACTCAATGGAATGGTCTCGAGATGCCTGTCAGTCGGCTGACATGCCTTGCCAGTCGGCTAATGAGCCCTGGAATGCAGCTATGTGCAGCCTGAAGGTTTAAAAACTCTAGGCTCTTTGTGAGCCAAACCCAATGCCCAACCTATCCTAACCTCACAACAATAATGATACACATCATGAGTCATCATCATCAATGAAATTAATCAAATAACCCATAGTCATCTCACCCATCCCAATAAACCATCATGATTATTACATACTTCCATAGCCATACACAAAATACATCAAATTGTTGTCTAAAAATACGGATACATTGTCAAATTATAACAATAAAACGATTACATAGAATTGTTTAAGATTCACAAAATATACATCTTAATACAATGTGATATAAGTCCAACCCCATCCGTGTTCGTGGAAGCTCAACACCCACCAGCTCAATCCCGTGACCTGAAAAATTGTAGAGGAGTGAGCACAACGGCTCAATTGAGATTGCCTAAGTGGCACCTTCTCAAACAAAGTAAGTAATCCAATGCCTTACACACAATGAATAGGTAAAATGAGTGGGGTCATGCGAGGGATTTCACATACGGCACTTAAATTTTCAAGTAATTCATATCACCATCACATACAATGCAATACATAAAAATATCAATGCAACCGCATGTCACACCATACCCCCACTTATTCACACATCCCATCCATACCACCGTGTATCCACACCTTTCTTTTCCACTCCCACACATCTACACATCTCATCTACACCCTCACCTTTTTTATGCCTATCAATACCCTCATGTGATGCATATGGAACATCTTAGTTTCAATCATTCAATTTTCAACATTCCTTCATTATGCAATAAACAATTTCATGGCCACAACAAGTTAATTAAACAACTTTAGCGTGCTTCAACATACACTAAACAACCATACTAGGAATAACATATATAATCCACCACAGTCATTTTTTAGCATGTTATTATAAATTCATACCCAAAATAAACATTTAATTCGATCAAAACCATCAATTGGGTTAAACTCAAGCATAAACTAAAACACTAGAAATTGCATTATTCAATTAATAATCAAATTGACATGCCAAATGATGGGAAAAACATCAAACTAGCTATTAAATCCAAGGAAATTGACAATTAGACATACCTTAAGTTGATGTAGAGAACCCCAAAATCCCTAAATCCAAGCCCTAATTTTTGGAATTCCAAGGTGCACCAAAAACACTTTTGCTCCGATCAAATCGTAAATCTTAACGAGCTCTTCAATTTGCCGCAAACGGAACCAAAAATTTCCTAATGGTTTGAGAAAAATAGACATTTAAAGCTTGTAGGGAAAATAAATGAAAAGAGAATGAGGGAAAGAGATTCGTTGAGAGAGAGAGAGAGAGAGAGGAATGAGGAAAAGTGAGGCCAAAATTGGCCTCTTGCCCTCTTTTAATAAAAATTAGTGGGTCCCACCTTTTAAAATATCTTTTCCCTTTTTTAATTTCTACCACAAATATATATATGCACATAATAAATCACAACCACATAAAACACATTAAACAAAATAAATGAAATACAATTAGACCCAAACAAAACCCCCGGACGCGACAATTCCGGCAGCGGGTCCCACCTAGGACTCCCGGCATAAGAAACAGAAAAATGCCGAAATGGTAACCCATTCATTTCTAAGAGTCCTGAGCTCAATGGAATGCCCCCAACCAACTCTTAGACATAACTGGCACACCCCACGGTGTTCGGCACGCGAAACGAGAAAAGACAAAAATACCCTAGAAAAAAATCAGAAATTCCAGAAAAATGGAAAATGAGAAAAATCAGAAACGTCACATATGTTGGAAATGTGTAATAACGCCCCCCTGAATTTTCTCCTTCCTTTATATACTATATATGTTTCCTTAAATGTTTTTTCTTAAATTGTTTTATTATATTATATATATGTAATTGATTAATTTATCTCATCCCAGAAATATCAATCTCTATATACATCCACCTATGTCTCTTTATGTATATATACTCCATAAATACTAATTTATATGTATTTAGTGTATAATGTGCCCCCCTGAAAAAAAAAAATTATGCCTCTGTCCCTGTAGCTAATTTAATGATTCTGTCATATATAAAGCCATATCTAACAATGAGTTTACCTTATTAGTTATCTCAATGATTACATCACATACATTCATTTATTTCATCCACAAGGCATAAATTAGAGATATAACGAATAATACAATCATAGATCATGTTTATAGATCACAAGGACATCAACATAAATAATTAAACCATAAATTAGATTATGAAATTAATTGCACAATTAACGTGTTAGCACAAAATAATTTAGAACTTATTACGTAATTTAACCATTTATAGTAATTACGTGTAACAATATATAGCATGTATTTTCCACTAAAGTGGTAAAATTGACCAACCACTACCATATTGTCCAAAAAGTGGTTATAACAAATATTTAAATAACACGTTAATTGGTTCATTAGTTATTTGTTTTGTCAGTGAAGGGGTTATATGGGGCCATCTTGAATGGCGAAGACTTCAATTGGGGTGATTGAGGGTGGTCTGGACCTTGATGGTTCGACCATGGAGTAGTGGTTGCAGAGGATTGCAATGTATGTGTTTTAGAGAGAGAAGGAAGAGAAGAAAGAAGAGGTGGTGGCTGTGGGTGGTGGTGGTGGCAGCATTGTGGGTAGGTGGTTGAGATGAAGAGGTTATTTTGGACATTTAAAATTAGTTAGAATGGGTTAATTGGTAATTTAACTATTCAAAGTGTCACTTCACAAGTAAAAGGGCATTCAGGTCATTTTACCATGTGCCGGAGCGTTCACGGAGTGTCTTTGTCTAATGGAGCGAATCTGAGGAGGTGTCACTATGAAAGAATTGGGTGTCAAAGAGGCAAACCACGGGGGTGTTGTGAATGCTAGTTGTTTTTCCTTTTGAATGAAAGAGGTCATCTTTCAACTCGTATTACTACCAGTTTCCTCATGTTTTAAGTTTTGACCCAACACTTCACAAAGTTACTCCCTTAATGTTTTCTTATAGATTCCAAAAGAAAAGGTGGTCAACGACATTAAGGCGCTGCTTGAGAGAGCCGGGTTTGTTATAAACGACAAAGATGTTGATTTAAGTGACATTGACTGGTTTGGCACCTAATTACTTTGTTCAGTTGATCGGTGAAAATTTTGTATCTTCTTATCTCTCTTTCTTTAGGTGATTTGATTTTGAATAAGCTCTAGTATTCTAATGCATGTTTATTTTTTCGTGACATTAAAATGCCATAGTGTAAGTGAAAGTATCAAAGAGGCAACGGAAGAATTAGGTGATTGGTTGATTTCCACTTCAAGTGACTCATGCTTCAAAGGAATTTTCCAGAAAAAATCCATTAGGCTTTGTTTGATTAGATGGAATCAACTCGAAAAGAAAGGAAAGAGAAAATTTTTAATTTTTTTTAGAGTTTGGATAGATGGAAAAAGAATCGTAATAGAAAATATAGTTTCCCACATTAGACTAGTTTCCCCCAAAACTTTTCTCACATAAAACACGAGGAAATAATATTTTCTCTTGAAAACTGCTTCTTTTTATTTAAAGTTCCTATTTTATCCAACAACTGAATCATGTAAAACAACTAACTTCTTTCTTTTCTAACTGAGTTTCTTTTCTACTGAGTTTCAAAGAGGCAAGTTTTCTAACAATTTCTATTTTAGTGGACTTCTAAAAGGCAAGTTCTCTCTAAACATGTTCTTTTGCAATACTATTTGGACGATTTTTTTTTTTGGGTTCCAAATATATACATTGTATTTGATATATATATATATATATATATATACCCCTATATTATATATACATAGAATAATTTATGTTTTGCTTTTTTGTGTTCTCTAGTTGAAAGCCCATGAGTCCATGAGCCCAATTTTTTTATTTTTTATTTTATTTTTAAGCCTCCTTATTCCTTTTAAATGAATAGTTAGTTTTACTTCTATGGTTCTACCTAAGAAGTCTTGAAGTATTGTTTTATTTTATACAATATAAATGAATATAAATAATTATATTATTAACTTTAATAATTCATCATTTTTTTTAAAACTTTGATAAAAATAGATATCATCAAACACAAATTTATTTATTTTTTTAGTATTTGAAATCATAAGGGTAATTTTGGTATGCACAATCACTTTCTTTTCATTTTCATGCTATCCAAACTAACAAACTAATATTTTCATACAATTTTCTTGAATAAATTTTCATGCTAACCAAATGCTTGATAGAAAATAACTTTTCTTTTCATTCACTTCACTTTTCTTTCATTTTTCATTTCTTTTCTTTTCTTGCTTAGTTCTATCTAACCAAACGGAGCCTTAAAGTAGTCTGATTTTGTTATGTTTTGTTTTACACAGAAGAGAGTTTAACATTGAGGTCTTATTCAAAGGATCTCTGCATGCCACCTCCCTCACTGTCTAACAGTTTTTCCAAGGAAAAGGTAAGAGACATAGACAGTAGTTTGTCCTTGCTGATGTTTTTCTCATTAGGGATGGTAAATTCTTGCTTCACATATTTTGAAGTATAAATTTTAATCTTTTTGTGTGCTGTTAAGAATTATATTCATGAATACTTGAGCAACTCATCTCTCTCCCATCCACTTATCATTCCTCCCGACCTAGCAAACACTCATTTTTGGTGTTTCTCATATCCGAGGTTGATGCTACTATATTATCAGCTTTTTTATGTGGCATTTGAGGATCACCTATGTGTGGTTGGTTATATGATGCATTGATTCTACCTACATAGGATCTTAGCACTGGAGGTTTGGAAAACGAGGGTGATGATCTCGTGGCTTATCTTTTTCTTACCCATTCCCAAAACTATGGTTGGGTTGATTGGAAAAATTCCAAATGTTTTTGCTGCCTCTCTCTACTCTTCATCTTCCCTCTATTCATCTTATAGTGCATTACTCTCTTTCTTCCTGTATGTTCAGTAACTTCAGTTGGGTTTTGGAAGTGTCTTATGTGGCCATTTGCATAGTCCTGGCCATTTGCATAGTCCTGACTATTCCAGGCTCTCATTACAATATTATTGAAATCTACTCTTTACTTTCATACTTTTACGTACTTTTCTGCATCCTCTATTATATCCCTTTTTTTTAGTCTATCAAAGCAAGAAGCTTTCAAGGCTAGAGGTGCATTTTACATAATCTCAGATTTGGTCTTGTGTCTATTAAGAGCCGTTCCACGATATTCTCCACAATTTTTTATTTATACCCCAAAAAATTGTTCTTAATAATCTGAATCTAGGTAACCTTAGGGTTGCATTACTTCATTAGTGCGGAAAAGTTTTTGTATCTACAATCTTGCAATCGATCACTTCCCAAACCAAACTAATTCTGACCCCTTTCATCTATAAACCATATACATGTTTCTCTACCTTTCAGGGCGATGGTTCTATATGATTTTGTTGATAAAAGAACAACAGAAAATTATTTGTATGTAGCATATTACTAAGTCTACTGAGTCAGCCAACATCATGAGTTCTATATTGATAGGTCTTTTAATGCGTCATCGCACCACTGGAAATCAAACGAAATGCTTGGGTTTTTAGAGGCAAGATCTCCTCCCTGAACCATGTTTTGGACCAAATCTGTTCCTCCATCATAGAGAGGCTCATGGGTGGGTTTTTGAAAGATTCACCCCAATCTTATCGTGTTTTGCTCAGCTGGGGTCTCTGCCCCTCCTCCTGCCATCCTCCAAGGAAGCCTCTTGACTTGAGATCGGCTTGAGAATTGTTACTGGGCTTGGGTTTGTTTTGGGCTTTTTTTGTATCCTATTCCCATTTATAAGTGATGGTTTCTAATTGGGCTTGGTCTCTCACTTAGAGATCTTATCCGGTGGACTTGTCCACTTTTTACATTTTATTGTTTTATACAATTTGCTTGAAATTCTGGAATATATATATATATAACTTCTACAATTAGCAAATTTCTTTGGCTATATATGAGCATCAAAAGTCGTGTGTTTTGTTTTCCTTCCAACCTCATTTAATCCAAAGGTTCTATGTGTGATAACGGATAGCCTGTTGACAACAATTGAATGTCAAACATTAAATGAGTAAGACTCAATTTTAGAGAAATTTTTGTACCCTTGTGCATTGTAATTCTTGTTTCATTAAATGTATTTTTTTCTTTTTCTTTTTTGGGATAAAGAAGTAGCAAATCAGGGATGTTGAGGATGTCTTTCTTCCATTTTTCTTTATTTCAACAATTTTACCAATTAAATCCTTACAACAGTGGAGTGCCAAACATTCAATGAGTTAAGACTCACTTTTAGAGAAATATTGGTACCCTCGTATGCGTACTTGTAATTTTTGTTTCATTAATTTTTTTTTTCTTGGCTAAAGAAGTAACAAAGCGGGAATGTTGATCAACATTAAAAGTGTGCCTAGTATCCAAAAAAGCGACAGGGTTGTCAAGGCTCGGTTAAGAGTGCTTCAACCTACTAAAGGCCAAGCCCAAGCCCAAGCCCAAGCCCAAGCCCCCAGACTCACGCATTTTACGTTCTTTATTTAATGACCATTAAATTAAAATGTTTTGTATAATATCACGATCATATTTAATGGATCATATTGTTTGACTTTATGATATATTTGACAAATTCATAGATTTATGGTTGACTTATTACGTTAATTGCATTCATTTTGATTCTAAATAAACGTGATTATATATGTTTAATGTTTACTTGATCATAGCTTTTTTATTGTTTTACGTTTGTAATCACATCTAATTTACTAAATGTATACGCCTAAGAAATGATTTATGCAACATCAATTTACTGGATCCTCTTAGCTTGATAGGTCAAAAATCCCATTTTTAGAGAATTATTATTTTGATATGATTTAAGCACATCATTGAAATGTTGGAAAGATTTCTTTATTTTGATATTGACTAGTATGTGTTGCATAGTTTAATAATTTTTATTAAATTAATCTTTAATATGCATCATTATCATACATGCGCCTTTGATCAGTCTTGTGCCTTATATTGTGCCTTGCGCTTGTGCTCCAGGAGACCTTTGGCACTTTAGTGTATACCTTGAGCCTTAACAAGTATGCTTTTTCTGTATTTTTGAACAGAGTTCAGACACATGTAAAACTATTAGAACATTCATCCAATATGGGCCCCTTGTTTTTATGCCTTCATCACGGTCATACTTTACATTCCCACTCATGGATAAAAAAAAGACACATCCTATTCCTATAGGTGTTAAATATTCGAGAACTGGTAGACCCCCAGCAATGAGAGTATCTGCGGCATATCTTCTATCAAGAAATCAGTTTGCCTCCTTGGCATTAGCAATCAAGAAGAGTATAACTTGCATATGATTGGCAAATAAGGTACTGATGATTGCTTTTCCTGCCTTTTGAATTTTTGTCTATTCATTTCAAATTTATTCCTTGAGTTTCATTTGTTGATCGACAACTCAACTTTGGCATATCCTCTTGCCCTATCTTCAGCTTTTACAAATAATTACCTCTACAATATGTTTTGATTTTGATTTGATTAGTGTGCATATGGAATTTTTGGTGATTGAATTATTACCTGTTTGGATTGGATCTTTATGGATAATGAAAATTATACTGTCTTACTGTAGTCAATGGACTCATGATTGCACTGGGGGTTGACTTGGCCACTGTTTGAATTGTAAATGGAAGCTGTTATAAGGGCACTAAAGGCCGTGCATTTTCTTAAGAAGCAAAGCTGGGAGGCTTATGCAAGTGACAAATAAAATACAGAAGATCCTTCTTCTACTCATGATGCCGTGTTTTATAGTTGTTATTTTATTATTTATTTGAGTTCTAATCTCTCAACTTTGGCAGAGAGGAAGCCTTAGTAAGTTAGTCTTGTAACTCTATGTTTTCAATTGTTAAATTTGTTTGATGTTCATACTAACTCAATAAAATATTTAAACAATTTTAAATGCATGTTCCAGTTTGTTAATTTCATGTACTTAACCGTAGACTAAAATTGATTGTATTTGGAGTCTAGCATAAAGGTTACTTGTATATAATCATGAATTAGTAATTTTCATTGGACTATTTGGGAAATAAAATAATAAATTATGACGTTTTATGCCTAAGGATGAATAATTAAAATTTATTTATTTTTCTTCAATTAATTATTTATGATTTATGACGCAGATAATAAATAGGAGGAACAAATTCTGACATTTTATGTACTAAAAAGTAATAAATTATGACATTTTATGCCTAACTGAGGATGAATAATTGAAATTTATGTTTTTTTCTTCAATTAATTATTTATGATTTATGACCACGATAATAAATAGGAGGAACAAATTCTGACATTTTATGCCTTGATTCTAAAAAATAACAAATTATGACATTTTATGCCTTTTCATATCTTTTTATTAATTGTATTGTTACTTTAGCTTGAATCACTCAATTTTTGGTAGAATTTGTTAAGTATTAATTTTAGAATTAGGATGTCCCAATATTATCATACCCTTATAGAATGACTTTATTATCACACCAGTAAAGTGCACGTGCAATGTTAGTGGAGTGTAATATAATTCAAAAAAAAAAAAAAAGTAAGGAAAATACAATATTGTAGTTAATAATATTTTAATTTTTTTTTAATAAGATTATATAATTATATATTTGATTAGTACCCTAAAATGTATTAAAATAAAAATCTATTGTTAATATTTATTTTGACAAATTAAGGAGTGTCAATGTTTACAATAGTAAGGGTATAAGCTTAAAAATGGAATTAGTGTGAGTTTATTATAGGTTTAAATCATTTGGGTTTGCGTATGCCTATTAAGAATCCTATTGTATTACCTTGTATTACCAACGGGCCTAGTAGTATTGGCCTTTACTTTTCAAAGGAATGTCAAGAATTCTAGCATCCAAAGAGGCATCTAGGGGTGCACACGGTCTGGTTTGGACCAGATTGATTGTATTTTGAGACTAAACTATTTATAACGGTTCCACTATTTTGAACCAAGCCAAACCAAACTGTGAAAAATCGGTTCGGTTTGTCGGTTTCGGTAGATTTTCTTTTTATTTTATTTTAATTTAAAGGGGGCAAAGTTTTTTTTTTTTTTTTTTCCTAAAAAATCAACCAACATTGATATAATACGCAAAAAAAAAAAAAAAGAAAAAAGAAAAAAAAAAGAAGAATTTTAAGAAGAAATAAAGGAAAGAAAATTGAGATATATTTGAAAAGAGAAATTTGACTTTTTTTTAAAGAAATTAAGAAATTTAAAGAATAAAAGAAAGAAATGGAGTACGTGAGAACTTTACTTGATTTAGGTTTAGGATATGATTTTATGTATATACATAAAGAATAACATAATAACGGTTCGAGCTGGTCTGGTCCAGCACGACCCTAAACCAAGACCGGACCGAAAAATTACGGTTCCATAATTTTGGGCCCAGGACTGGACCAAACCGCTATACAATTAGCCCAAACGGCTATACAACTAGCCCAAACCGCCCAATTCAGTACGGCCCGGTCCGGTTTTCGGTTTACTGGATTTTTTGAACACCCCTAGTGGCATGCATGTGTGAGTATCAATTATGAAAAAAAAAAAAAACCTATTGGATTAAAGTAAGGAATCATTAATATGAAACTTAACTATTTATAATGAAATTTATTATACTCGATTTACAAATTTTTACCCTAAAAAAATACATTTTTTTATATATAATATATTAATAACAAATTAATAAATTAATCGAAAGGAAAATCAATTGAATCATACTTCAGGAAAAATCAGTACAATCATATATATATATGATGAAGGGTACTAAAGAAATATTAGAAGGGTAATTTTGGGAATAAAGGGTTTAAAATGGTTATGTACCATGCACATGACCAACTAATATCTATTTTTTATCAGAATTCTGACCCAAATTAAATTATGGGGGTGTAATTTGCACAAATTTAAAACTATAGGGATGTTTTTCAGATTTTTCCCCTTATATAATATAAAGCAGGGAAAAGTGCAAAAAATCCTTCTGTACTATTGGGGTTTTGCAACTAATTCCGTTGAACTACATAAAACCTCCTTGAACTAACAAATTGTTGCATTTAACCCCTTTGAACTAACAATAGGGTGCTGGAAAAGCCAAAAGATAACATTACCCTCAATTATCCACAGCGACCTGTCTTTGGGCCTCATTTTTCTGCACAGAGAGAGAGAGAGAGAGAATCAGAGCCGAAGCTGATGATACAACCAAAGCCAAACTATATATATATTCCAATTGGTGTTGGCTTTGTGATGGGGATGAGTGGTGATTGTGGAGGTTTTGGGTGGAGGAGCGGTGACGCTTTTGGTTGAACGTGGTGGTGGTTATGGGTTTGATGTGTCATTTGGTTACTGGAATAGGGTGATGTGCGGTGGTGGTTTTGGGTTTGCAGAGATGGGTGGCGGGATTGGGGTGGTAGTCGGTTTGTGTACTGGTTTTAATGGTGTGCCGTTGAGATGCCGATGGAGGTGGGTTTGATTTGGTTTAACGGTGTGTTTTGGCATGAGTTCAGGGGGGTTTCGTGGTGGTTATGTTGGTGGTCGTAGACGGTGGTGGTGGTGGTTAGAGGACAATTTGGTATTTTTATATATGGAAGGGCATTATTGGCCAAAAAACTCAGTTTGTTTGTCGCGTGATTCTCACATGCTCATTACTGGACGGCTGGTCACCGGATGGGGTGATCTGTAACTTTTTTGCATAGTTCAAGGGGGTTTCTTGCATTTTTGGTAGTTCAAGGGGTTAGTTGTAGATTTTTCCATAGTACAGGGGTTTTTTGTGCACTTTTCCCTATAAAGTGGAATGCAATGCTTTTAATTTCATTCACAAAGTAATTTTAAAGATGGAATATTCATTCCCCTCCTTTCTTGGAATGGTCATTTCATCAAAATCATTCAATTTCCAACAAGAGGATCACTTAAAAAAAGTACGGAGCAAAAATAATAGGGCGAATTGCAAAAAAAACCCTTTGACTATTACCCATTTGTAAGAAATTTCCCTTGTAAATGTTTTTGGCAAGAAATCCCCTCAACTATGAGGAGGGGTTGATTTAACTTACCTCCATTTAACAATTTTGTGAGGCAATTTTTTCTGACCAAGTTACCCTTACATATCCAAGTTCGTAGACAATGGCTGAAGAAGCACTCAAGCTGTCCTCTTTGCAGGGTTAAGGTCAGTGCTGATGACCTTACATACTTCGTGTACTCAACCATGGAGCTTTTTGTCCAGAGAGAGGAAGACCATCATGGTTCTTCGAGATTTAGCATTGGAAGCAGCTTTAGGAAATCTGAAAAGGGTAAGAAAGAAGAAGAATTTCCCATCCAAGTAGATTGTGACAGCGACGAAAATGAAAAAGCTCTACATAAGTTCAATCACAGGATCATTATGTCTGATGTGGTCCTCAAGAATAGATGGAGCAGTGTGAGTTCTTCTGACCTCATGCTCCTGAATTCGGAGATCCTTAATGCTATGTCAAGCAATAGATTCTCTTCCTTGGATGTAAATAATGATCAATCCGCGACACCAAGTGGGGTTGAAGACACAGAAATTTTGAAGATCAAGGAGGAGATGGAGAGGGAGAGAGTGTTTGAGAGCAGGGTCAATAAAATCAACCAAACTGATTCAGATCTTCCTAACACTTTGGAGTCCAAAATATATCAAAGTCAAACATCAAGATTTTTGAATCCCAACACACACAGATCGATGTCAGATATAACAGTTCGTCCAAGATTCACAGAGTTGGGCATGAGAAATAGTAATAGAGACACTTCTCTTCCTGAAAATAATGTCAAGGAGGAAAGATTGAGGAGGCTTTGGTTGCCAATTGCAAGAAGAACAGTTCAATGGTTTGCCAATAGAGAGGAAAGGACACAACAGTCTCGCAACACAAGACACTCGATGTGTAATTTTGTTCTGTGCATCTCAAGCTTGTTTCAAACTCATCATATATTGATCACATTTCCATGATTTCACTTTAACTTTTGTAATAAATAGATTTAGTAGAAACACTATGCAAGTTTTACACATAAAATCCATAATGTTATATTGAAGTTCTTAAATTTCATAAATTTGTTATTGTGATCCAAGTCAACAAACCCTGTGTGTTACTATTTGATACTATTTTTTTTTTTTTGGTTTCCTGTTTCATGACAGCGACGAAAATGAACACACAGGAATTTCCAGTATGCTGCTTGCAAAAAACTCCGAAGCACTCTCTCTCTCTAAGGGATATATTGTTTTTTAAGCTAGGTCATTGAACTGCGCTCCATTTGGTTGATTAATGGGTGGTAAATATATATTGCTCTCTTTTTTTCTTACAGTTATTAGAAAGTGTGGGAGATTTTTTTATTTTTTTTTGGTGAAGACCCAACTGAAGCTACTAACCCAAATGTAAGGGTAATTTGTTCAGAAAAAATTGTCTCACAAGATTGTTAAACGGAGGTAAGTTAAATCACCCCCTTCTCATAGTTGAGGGGAGTTTCTTGACAAAAACATTCACAATGGGGTTTCTTACAAATGGGTAATAGTAAAGGGTTTTTTTTTATAATTCGCCCAAAATAACATTAAAAATGACTTTACTTAGGAGATCCAACAAAAGTCAATTTTTTCTTGATATTTCTTCTTTAATTTCCAAATATACATCGAAAATATATATTTACACATATTTATATATATATAAATAGTTTAATTTTCCTTCTTAAGTCATGACCAAACGAATGAATGTGTTCTCATTTCATTCCCTAGTTCATTTCATTCCTACCTTATTTCATTTCTTCATACCAAACTAGCCCTTAAACTAAGACAAATTAATAATTTTAAAAGAAAACAATACATTAATTACATATCACCTTGAAAACTTATAATTCATTAATTCTAAATTTGGACATTGAATAATTTTTTTTTTTTTTTTTTTTTTCATAAGAGCTATAGAAGTGACAAACCATGACCACCCATTAATATTGACTTGACCATTGTGTAATAATGGACACTTGATCTGGGCAAGGGTCCGCAACTCGCCGGAGATGATGGGTCACTGAAGTTCTTCATCTTTTTCTTGACGGAATTCAAAGTTCTTCATCTTCACCGTCTGGTTTGGTCACTACCATTGGGTCGTTGATGCTCGGTCTTCTCACCGGAACAAATGGTCCATGCAACTCATTGTGCTTATATGTATAACAAATTTATATAGGTTTTGGAACAGGTAATGAGAGATTATTAGACCAGCTTCAAGGATTGAAAAATCAATCTCACCAAGTTGGTTTGTTAATATTCTTCCATTTTTATCTCTAAGCACTAAGATTTCAATTATGGGTTGAGCCCCATTAGAATAAAACGTTTACAGAATCCACAGAGAACTGACGGTAATATTTAGTAATAGTAATGAAATAAAAACAACGAAGTGTTTGTGGATGCAAGTGATACCCATTGGATAAAACATTCCTAAATTTTTGTAAACCCAATCACAAACAATAAAAAATTTACTTTTCAAGAAACTTTGGGGAGGCCACACACTTTTTGTCACTGCTTTTTTAAATATTACGTACTTGATAACATTCTCAGGATCCAACCCTTAATAAAATTTCTGCAATTTGCCCAATTCTTGCAATCCTCATGGTCAAGAGCATCACATTCCAAATAATTAAGGCGGCATTTTGTAGGGCCAGAATCTTTTTTGCAATCCCTCTTGCAGTATGATTTCCAGCACGTCAACTGACAGCAAATACCATGTTGCCCCTAAAACCTAGAAAAAATAGCAGAAAAAAGTGTAATTGTCATTATGTAGAGTTTATAATATATAGAAAACACAAACTTACTAGGATTACTTTGATACTAATGAAATAGAGCCCATTTAAATTTCCCCCTATTATTTATTTTTGTTTTCAATGCCAGGTGAACAACAAAAGATCACGCCTAATAACTTTTTCTTTTCAGGAATTTAAAATACATTTTAAAAAGTAAAGTAAAAGTGCCTGACTTCAGATTTGTCTGAAGACAATTCCTCATCAGACGATTCACCATTGGATGATTCGTTATCCGATGATTCTTCAGCTTCAATTCCTTTTTTCGGATAGATCTCATGTCGTGGAATCTTCAATTGATCACACATGACTTGTGTCTCAAAACCTCTTTTGCCTTTCGGAAAACTTTGTCCCAACTCCCAAGGTCAAACGTGAAGCTATATACGCAACTCTATTAGCTATAGCATTTCCTTGAGGATGTAGAAACTTTATGTGATAAACATCAAAATTTTTCAACATATCAATAATTTTTGTGCAAAACAATAGTTTTTATATCAATATAATTGAAAACAGAAATCTAAATTTAAAGAATAAACCCAAACTTTATACAAAAAGCGTAATTAAAAAGTTCTAAATACTCCACTGGTATACGCTTCTCATCATTTAGCACCTTGACAATTGTTTTATGGTCAATCTCAAATATCATTTCCTTTACTTCTGATTTACTTCGGAGAATTTCATCAATCCCATGATGCACTCCAAGTAAGAATACTTCATCTCTAGACGTTGCATCAGGAAGTGGCTTATGGAAATTTCCAAAATCATTCCCTTACAATCTCGGAATACTTCTCCACAAGAAGCTTCTTTAGTCCCACCAAGATTTTCCTTAAAAAACCCAGAGACGTTTAACTTGTGCCAACCAACAGGTGGCTGACGCCAAATACATGCAAATATACCGTCTCTTGGTAAATTAATCGGACAACTCTCCAAAACATAAATTTGCTGCTTAAACATGTAATTATAAACCAGTTAATCATATTGTATAGGAATGCTTTGTACAAGGAATGAACACTTCTATTACTACAAAGAATGCTTTGTAGAAGGCTAGCTCAAGTTCTTTATTTAGCTCTCAACTCACACTCTAGAACTTGGTTACAAATGACACTTGGCTCTCAACTCACACTCTAGGACTTGTTGGTTACATATGACACTAGTCATCTATTTATAGGCCTCCTCACCACTCTCTTTAACTTCATACATATTTTACGTATTTACAAACTCAACAAAATTCCCTACTCATCTAGAATCTTCTCTTCTCTACTTCTCTACATATTTACATGTTCTCCAATATTCTAAAATCTTCCGACTCTCTCTACAATACTGTATATTTCTCTACACTAAGCTGGAATACACTAGCACTCCACTTGCCTCATGCCACGTGGTAGTCATCATGTAAAGTCCTTACCGCTCGGGTGTCGCCTGTGTGGCATAGCCACGCTGTACAATTAGGCAGGGTGTATAGCTAAACACAATGCAAAAATTCAAACTGAATTAGATCTTCAAAACCATTTCAAACTCTCGACCATGTGTTTCATTACGGACTTTTTTCTTCATTTTTTAAAACTAGCAACGACAAGCATGGAACTGATGTTCTGGAATTATAGCAATAAATGATTGCAATTTGACCTTTCCTTATCCTCTCCATGAATGATATTAATATCATCATTCGGAACAAATTCATTTGCTCTTTTTCTTCTTTTATTTCTTTCTAATGTCCTCTTTTATTTCTTCTTTAACACTCACTGGGCATCTTATGCATGCACTCACATTCCGGTGGTTTTTCTGAGACTGTTTCGGATTGCAGCACATAAACTTCCTGCAATAGCCGATTGCTATCGCCTTCATAACAGGAGACCGATTTTGTATAACACAATTCATAAGACCATCCCAAGATTGGAAGGTGGAGGACTCTGTTGAGCTCCAGGGGATGTTGTACAATCAGTAGATAGGTAGTGGGGAGGAGGATGAGTGGGCAGGGGAGTGGCTTCTCATTGGAGATTTGACTTTTGAGGTTCGCCCTTTATAAGTGATTATTGAACGTGGAGGGATTGCCTTTTTCCTTGGAAGGCAATTTGGCACACCAAAACCCCTTTAAAGGTAGCTTTCTTTGGGTGAAGAACTTTATGGAGGATTCTGACAATAGATAACCTCCGGAGAAGGCGTAGGCTGCGTATCTGATCGTCAATTGGTGTTGTATGCGTAAGATGGATGAGAGTCGGTAAACCATCTACTCTTGCATTGCCTGGTGACTGGAATGGGGCTTTATTCTTGTCTGCTTTGGTGTTTCTTTGGTCATGCCTAATTCTACCTAAAGCATGCTTACAGCTTGGAGAGGATGTACAATGAGGAAGCAAACTCGAGATGCTTGGATGGTTGCTCCTCTTTGCTCATGGTCGGGTATTTGGGAGAGAGAGTAATAGGGGATCTTTTGATGGGGAGGAGACTCCTATTTGGGCACTCAAATTCTCTATTCTTATTTTGTTAGTTGTTACTGTAAATGGTTGAAATTATAAATTTGCAGAGGATACGATGATTTTTAAGGATAGTTTGAGGAAATAGCATATTGTTTTGGCTGTGAGATTTGTATTTGGGATGCGTTCAAGCGCTATTCTATGATATGTTAGTTATCACCAAAAAAAAAAAAAAAATAATTGAAGAATAAGAAGCAGCAGCATTAGCACTTCAATAATGGATAAGAAATGTAACTTCAACTAATATTTGCATTGCTTTCTGGTTCAATTTTTTCATAATTGTAAACTGCAACCTCAAATTCATGCTCTTATCATGACCATGACTTGAGTTCTGTTCTCAGTCCAGGTTTGGTCATAACTAATTAAGAATCGAAGTAGAAATGAATTTTGTGAAAAATGAATAAGTACTGTTATGTAACAACTATAGATTGAACATACCAAATCTCCGAATCTCCGAACAAATAATATCCATGTTTTACGTATTCATTTGAATCCCACTAGGATACCTAGATATAAGATTTACAAATTCCCCCCTCCATATTTTTCTTTTTCCTTTTATCTCTTTAAATATGGGGTATCAATCTATAGGATGCTCCTACCCAAATTCAAAATGGATTTTTTTTTTTTTTTCAAATAACAAATATTAAAAAAAAAAAAAAAAAATTGTGCACCATATTACGAGGATAATGCAAATGAACAGAGAAGTAGAGGTTAAAACAATGAAAATATACAACTGCATCAGGCTCTAAGCTCATAAGCTATAAATAGAGCTTTTGGATCACATAACTTGTAACAAAATTATATCATTCGAATGGAAAAGTTATGAAAAATGAGGGAACATGCATCATAAACACACTTACCTGGGCCCTCACCGTTGATTGCATCACCAGCTTCATTAGTAAAAAAGGTATTACTCACAACATCTCTAACTGCATCAGGCTCTAAGCTTATAAACCATTGCCGGCTGTCGCAAGTGTTCCTCATCATCATTTGCGGCTAACAATGCAAGAATTAGTCAGCCAAATATGATATGACAGATGAAGATGTAATTTCCATTTGAATTTGAACTCCTACAGAATATCCAAATTCAAGCCCAAACCAAATTTAAAGGTAAACCAAAAGTCTTCCACAACACTATGAAGAAAAAAAAAATACAAAAAATTGTTATATATGCTATGCGAAGAACGCAGCAAAGGGCAATCTTATTCAAGTCAAATAATTACATTGATCAAGTGTTGATCATCATCTTTGCAGGGATATGCTGGTCCTTCTTTTAGGAATCGATTGAATGCTCTGTTTTTCTTACCTTCAGCGTGAGGAAGTTGTTTGGAGCACGAGTCCGAATCCGAATTGTTAGTTGGAATATATGATTCGGAATTGGAGTCGGAATAAGCGAAGGTGCGAAGGGAACGAACAGCCATTCGAGAGAGGAGCTTCGAGTAGCTTGTGATGAGATCTCTTGATGCCATTCTTACATCTAGGGTTTTGGGGAGAGAGAGAGAGAGAGAGAGAGAGAGAGAGGAGGGGTAGAGGTTTTTTTAAGGCTTAGTTTAGTTACAGAGAAGAGAAAATAAAAGATACTACGTAGCAATAATTTTTATTGTAATTGAAAAAACAAATACTAATTAAATTATTATGTACTATTTTAAATAAATAAGATATGAGTAGATTAATAATTTTAAAAAAAAATTATTGAGAGGAGTTTTAGAATTATAAAAATATTAGAACAGGATGAATAAGGAGCCTATTCTTTCTTTTTTTTATTTATTATTATTTGAACTCATCCAAAAACAATTAACTTTTTTCCAACATGTCATTTCCTTTCATTCACGATCTCTTCAATTCCCTCCATTCAAACTGATAGGGAAAAATATAAACCTACCCTACCCTCGATAAGATTGATTAGATTTCATTATCAAATATAATGAAATCTGACGTAGTTCAACAGGTAAGAATAATCCTATTATAACTGGAGGAGGTCAAAAGGATTAAATTATATCCCGACAAATCTGGCAACAAATCTCCTATGATTTCACACAAGCAGGAGATAAGATCAACCATCGACATCGGCGGAACAATTTTGATTCCAATCGACAGCCATAAATAGGGCACCAAGCTATTAAAGAAGGTACGACGTAAAAACTATTATTAATTCCTGCCATCTTTTTAAACCTCCGTGACTAATTTGATCGTCGGAGAGCTCTTGGCAGGCACCACACCGGTGCCGTCAAGGTTCATCGATCTTCTCCTCTCTTCCTTGCAGGAAAACGGTATCGTATCGGACTGCGCGAATTTCAGCCTCAACAGTTGGCGCCGTTTGTGGGAACGACGATTCCCTTGAATCAATTAATTACTCGTTGGGTATATAAGTTTGCAGTCCGGTATGGTTACCGAAGGAACACCGTCGCAGGGATCTGGTCAAAGGGTAGAGTCGGGTGAAAACCTGGACGTCCCAAACGACCAGGCACGGCTTGCAGCGTTGGAACTGCAGGTTCAAACTCTGAGTCAGGGTATGAACCAGTTGATCCAGCAAAATGCAATACTCTTGCAACACTTGTTCCACCAGTTCAACAAAACTTTCCAGGACAAGATCTCTCAAGTCCAAACGGAGGTAATGGGAATCTTGAAGAGAAGCATAATCATTCCCCCAAAAATGAGACTGAAGTCGAACAAAGCCAGGTGGGAACCCGACGTAGAGAGGTGGTTCACCCATCTCTCCCAAGGAGTTCCCGACCTCCTGAAAGCATAGCCTTCTGTCTTAAGAAAAAGACAAAGAAAGTTACCCATATCGACTTGCAGATCAAGGATCTTAAGGGAAAAATGGAAGATGTAATGCAGGCTATGAAAGGGAAAGGTCATGCCGTCGTAGATGACCAGGTACAAAGGACCAACCTGCTTTTCAGCCCCGCCGTTATGAAATGTCCACTACCTAGCAAGTTCAGGATGCCCTCGTTCGAAAGCTTCGATGGGACCAAAGATCCCTTCGATCACCTGGAAACTTTTCAAGCTCTTATGCATTTACATACTATGCTAGATGAAATCATGTGCCAAGCTTTTCCCATTACACTTAAGGGATCAGCGAGAGTTTGGTTCAACAAGTTGAAGCCAGGAACCATCAACACATTTGAAGAATTGAGTAAGCAGTTTGTGAGCCACTTCATTGCAGGTCAGAGGCATAGGAGGTCGGCTACCTACCTGTTTACCGTGGAGCAACAAAAGGAAGAGTCGATTCGAGAATACATCACCCCGATTCAACGCAGAGATGTTGCAGGTAGAAGAGGTGGACGACAAGGTAGCTTTGACCGCTTTCATAAGAGGACTCCAAACCTCCAGATTCTTGTTCTCCTTATCAAAAGAACCTCCCACCAGTATGATAGAGTTGCTGGTCAGAGCGCAAAAACACATCAACGCTGAAGACACCATGAGTGCAAGGAAGAAAGGAGAGGACAAGAAGAGGCCAGCCCCTCTCGCCAGGGATGAAAATAATACTAAATATAAGAAATCGTTCTTCAGCCAGAGTGACAGCACATATCATGAGAAGGACTCAGATGAGTATACCGACTAGAAATTGTCTCACGGCTGGAATTAGCCTTATCAAGTCATTCACAATAAAGACTGGAGGCATCTTAGTTAATCATTTTAAATGGAGGGTAGCTCCATCACATGTTTTTTTGTTTTTAATAAGCCTTTAGGCAATGATGGTCTTTAATAAAATTCTTTTTAGTTTATACGTGCAATATCCCCGTACTATAAGGAATAATAAATGAGTGTCCCGTAGTATAAGGACCCGGGCTGAGTGAATCCTGTAATCCGTATCCCCGTACTATAAGGGATAGTAAATGAGTGTCCGACCTGGGCTGAGTGAATCCCGTAATCCGTATCCCCGTACTACAAGGGAATAGTAAATGAGTGTCCTGTATTATAAGGACCCGGGCTAAATGAATCCCGTCATCCATATCCCCGGACTATAAGGATAAGTATCTTGTATTATTAGGACCCGGGCTGAATGAATCCCGTAATCCATATCCCCGTAATATAAAGGATAATAAATGAATATCCTATACTACAAGGACCCGGGTTGGATGAATCCCGTAATTAATATCCCCTTACAATAAGGGATAGTAAATAAAAATCATTTATTAAAGAAGTGAGCTGAGTAAAACTCGTAAAGTTCAATTCCCGTATTAAAGGAGTGAAACTCATACAATTTATTCCCTTATCAAAGGAAGAGTACTGTTCCCTCGGGTGCCAAAAAAAAAAAAAAAAAAAAATTCCTGAGTTACTATTCACGTGAATAGTGCCCGCGGGTACTGTTCACAGGGGTATTTTAAAAAAAAATTCCCTTAGTTACTATTCACATGAATAGTACCCGTGGGTACTGTTCACAGGAGTTGAAAAAAAAATCATGAGTTACTATTCACGCGAATAGTACTCGCGGGGACTGTTCACAAGGGTTGGAAAAAAAAAAAATTTTATTATTATTATTATTTATTACATTCCCAAAGCTAGACGTGCAAGCTTGGGAATGGGGGGCAACTGTAATACCCCTAATTTTAAAAGGATAGTCTTGGTATTTATTTATTTATTTTTATTGTATTTTTTTTAATTGTTTAATTGATTATTTGACTAATTATTTATGTGTTTAATTGAATTAAGTGTTACTTGATTAATTGGCTACTTATCTATGTGTTATTTGTATTTTGTCTAGGTGTTATTTGTATTATTTGTTTAATTAGATTGTGTGTTTAAATGATGTATTTGATTAATTGTAATTAATTGTAAATTAAATGATTAAATGTTTTATTTTATTTTATGGTTAGTAGTAATGGGCCAACCAATTGGGTCCCATGGACTATTTGGATAGGAGGTTGGATGTGTATGGATTATTACCCATGGATAATGTATGTATATATATAGATATATATTATATACATATATAAAAAGGAAAGTAGTTTATTAATTATTTTTATGGTAACTTGGGTAGTAATATTTAATCTGATATATATGTTTTATATTTAAATAATAAAAATATACATAGATTTGATACGTGTTATGTTTTAAGTTACTTTATAATATTATGGTAACTTAAGTATTATTGGATAATCCATTAATAAATAAGGGAATGTGTATAATTTATTTATTTAATAAACATATACATAAATTATATACGTAACATATTTTACTTACCTTTTAATATATATATAAAAGAGAAAGTAATTTATTAATTACTTTTATGGTAATTTGGGTAGTAATATTTAATCTGATGTATATGTTTATTTAAATAATAAAATATACATAAATTTGATACGTGTTATGTTTTAAGTTACTTTATAATATTATGGTAACTTAAATATTATTGGATAATCCATTAATAAATAATGGAATGTGTATAATTTATTTATTTAATAAACATATACATAAATTATATACGTAACATATTTTGCTTACCTTTTTAATATTTTTATTTTCATTTTTTTTTTTAGTTGACTTGGATTGGGAAAAGGGTTAGGGTTATTTTATTTAGCCTATAAATATATAGGTATAGGTTGTAAAAGGGGGTTAGAAATATTCACGTGATATATACTGGAGAGATAGTGTTAGAGAGGTAAGGAGGAAAAGGAAGGAATGAGGAGAAAAACCCTGTAGAGAGAAGATCAAGGAAGAAGAAGTTTAACTTTCGATCCGAAAGTTTAAGGCAAGTTCTTCTTCTATCTCTTTCCCTTTGATTCGTGTTTCTGTACATGCCTAGGAAATTCCAGGATTTATTAAACACATAAAATTAAATAATTATGCATGTTTAATTGGGTTAGAACATAGGTTTTATGAAATTGGTTCATATTTGTTCTTGTGTTATGAATTGATAAAATTCATGATTTTGATTTGATTTCTTATGTGAATTTTTACATGTTTAAATTATGTATTTTTCATACCTGTGGAATGATGGAACGTAGAAACATGCCTAGGATTCCTGAACATTAAATATGGATTAGGTTTGGGTTTTAATGAATTTAAATAGACTCAATCATAATGATGCTTGCTATTTGAATGTTTTAAACAAACAAATGAATTTAATCTTTTAAAATGTTTTAGCAATTGAGATTAAATGTGTAGGATGAATTGGATATAGAGAATCCTTATTTAACGGTATAATAAAATATCATCATGTATAAGATTCAATTTGTGTAGGACATATGATATAGAAAGTTTAAAGAAATAATAAGTCATTCCTATTATGTGATAACTTGATATCATATTTATCATAGTTATTTATGGAATGTTTGATGTATTTTCCTTAATTGTTACATCAATTGTTGGATTGTGTGGTTTAATGCACCGGTATGGGACGGTGGCATTCTAGGGATGAATTAACTTATCAATTAAGTCCTACCTATTTTATATAAGGGAATGGATTAACTAAAATGTTAAGTCCTACTTATATTTAAGTCAGGTCAGCTGAACAAGTTGAATGACTTATGGAGGATTAATTTATTATATAAGGGAA